CTGAAAAGTAAAACGCGAGTGGAAATTTTCGATTCTGAGCACAACATTTTTTTTAACCTATCGCACGAATACAATGCTTCTCTACCTTCGGTAATGAGGAAGCAAAAATAATAATAAAACAGTAAATTATAAAACAGATACGAAACACTTAGGCACACACTACTCAGGTATAATATCCAATATTAAAATTCAGAAATAACAATAGGCAATACAATCACAACAAACAATGAGGAATAAGTGGACAGGAACAAAATACAATAATGGAACTAGAAATAACCAAGTGTTGGTTGGTATAATGATATATAAAAAATGAATGTGTACCAAAAAAAGTATTATATTTAAATAGATATGACGGTTATTGTAATTTTTGACAATTGGTGCCAACCCCTTAATATTATATTATAGAAGAAGAAGAAAAGTAAATTTTATTATGGGGCCTGCAGTCTCCTAAGAATGATTATAATAAACAATTTAGTGATTTTGTCTGACGTACAAGTTAATCATCTTCTTGTTATTAATTTAATTACATTGCTATTGAATCTTGAAATTAAGATAAAGAAAGGTACAAGCAAGTTAACATTTGAATTATAGCTAGATTTATAAGAATGTGTTATGTAATCTGTTAGGTATCTGTAACATAACAGTAAAATATGGCGACAGCAATAAAATGGAAATATTGCACTTACATATATTCGGAAGATTGATTGCTGAGGGGATAGGAAAATAAATGGTATTTAATTGAGGTTAAGGACACAGCCGGATCTACGGGGGGTGGGTTTTCGGGCTGAAGCCCCCCCCCCCAAAATGGTAAAATGTAACCATATTTTACTGAAAAAAATATTAAAAACTAGCTCTTAAAGTATTCTTGTTCGTGTACTTATATTTAATAGGACTTCAAAAACCACTTAAACACCATTTCATATAGGTAATTAATTTCTCTATTTTTTTTCAAATTAATTATCGTTATATGTATATGAAAAAAAATCTTTCGGGCTGAAGCCCCCCCCCCCAAAATTAAATCCTGGATCCGCTAGTGGTTAAGGATGAAGATTTGCGTACGGAAGTAGGTAGGGAATTCCAAAATAAGATAGGACGTTTGATTATATATGAAAATAAACACGTTTCACTGATAAATAAATACGTTGACATGTTAAATTAGTAAAATGATAGCTAGCTAATGCGTGATTTCTCAACGGGGTATAGCAGTTGTGCAGTTGTGTCAATATATTGATCAAGAACAAATTTAAGTAATTCTGTTTAGTTCCATTTTTTTCTTCATTTATTGATATTTACAACTGTATACATATAAATAACAAATAAATCTGCTAAAAAAATGGACCCGTTGGTAACACTTCAAAGATTACATTAATTTACGTCTCTTGGCCATATTTTTTCTGACGGCTTGAAGGGTTTTCAGGAATTGATTTGGATTTACTAAATGTAAATTATTTAATGTAAATTTAATAAATACAAATTATTTAATGTAAATTTAATAAACATAAATTATTTAATGTAAATTTAATTTTAAAAAATTATTTAATAAATATAATTTATTTATTTTTACTTTGTTACTTGTGACTGACCACAGCTATTGTTACTCAAATGCGAGACCATGATGGGTCTTGGTCTTGCACACTCAGTCTTGGTCTTGTACACTCAGTCTTGGTCTTGCGCAAGTATCACAACAGTCTTCCAGTTATCTATTAGCTTATTATTATAGAGATATTACTGTAATTTTTCAGATATGTGAAACTTAATTAAGTCCGAATGAAATATTGAGAGTTAAATTCCAAAGAATATTGGTTATACTAATTCTTTACATCTGGTAACTAAATTTGTCAAGTTTTATTGACTATTTTACGTTAATTTGTATTCATAAACAGGATTTTTTTTACCAGTCTTGCAAAGTGCATGACCAAGACCGATATTGGACAACACTAACTATTATATTTGCACTATCATTTCTGATCATTAATAATAAGTATTTTTTATGAAATGGTTTACCTCTTACCAGAATGTAGATGTTGTATATTGCATCTAAAGCAGAAAAAAAAATTGATCACTTTACTTTTAAGGCTGTTAAAGGTGGTAGGTAGGAGAGTATTTGTTTCGAAGTGGTATAACTTAGTTTTTGTATAATTTGAAATTTTCTATTTACCAATCAATATCAATATACCTGTTATCAATAAAATGGATTAATAATCATACTATGATCAATTGTAATAATGTTCGCAACACCTGAATTTTCCATTAGAGCAGAATCTAAGCTTTCCCTTCTTTTATTTATTTTTTTATATCATATCATATTATATCATTACTTTTTTGGAGAAATTAGAGACTGTTGGCTATAATATATTTTTAATTTTATCACACAGGATATACCAAGTAAAAATAACTAATAGTGAAACATAAAACTGTAAGGATAAAATACAATCAATTATCAATTGATTGAACAACTATCCAATTTAACGTGAAAAAGAAAACATTTTTAATCAACAAAGGAATATAAAAAAAAAAAGATAAAACAGAGAGTATTTATTTATTTATAAAGAAATTTAAATTTACAGATTTACTTCTAAAAACATAAATATAATTCTTTTTACTTATTGAATTTATCCTAAATACTAAATACAATAAATCTCTTAAGAATACTATCTTTAATATTGTGACAATTAATTATATGTTCTTCATCAACAGAACTCATTTTCCTCTATGAAAAATCCTCTTGCTGAGTTGATTTGGCTCATATAGGTTCCGAAAATGAATTAATCCTTTAATATGTTACTTTATTGTATTGATTTTCCTTTGTAATTCAGTGGTTGTGAAACAAAAATATGGAAATTAAGTTTGAAACTTGATTATAGAAGATAGTTTTATAGTTTTATAGGCTATGAGCTGACACAATTTTTATTTTGAAGTCAGTGGTTTCAAGTATAAAATTGAAATTTGGTTTTCCTTATTGGTTATTGTTAGTTTCAATATTAAAAATATGAGTGTAGTTGATGATCCTTAAATGATAATCTTGACCTTAAATGATAAAAAAACATCTTGAATAAACATTAATAGTTTCAGAATTTCAATAAGAAAAATAATAATTTCATTTCAGAACTTTTGCAGCAAAACAATCTATTTCTTAAAAATCAATCATGATGAGTATCATACCACTTATTCTGGCATAAAAGAAAACTAATTTTAGCTACTCTCACGGGCGGATCTACGGAGGGGGCTTTCGGGCTGAAGCCCTCCCTTAAATGGTAAAATATAGTCATGTTTTATCGTAAAAAATATTCAAAAAGTATCGCTTAAAGTATTAATGTTTGTGTAATTACATTTAAAAGGGCTTTAGGAATCACTTAGACACCATTTCATATAGGTAGTTAGTTTCTTTCTTTTTTTCCAAAGTAATTATCGTTATTTTTATGAAAAAAACAGCTTTCGGACTGAAGCCCCCCCCCCCAAAAAAATTAAATCCTGGATCCGCTAGTGGCTACTCGAGATAATAAGTAAAGCTAAGAATCATCAACTATACTCATATTTTAATGATGAAAGTAACAATAGCTATAAGGGAAAACCAAATTTCAATTTTATACTAGAAACTACTAACTTCAAGATAAAAATTGTGTTAGCTAGTAGCCTCGAACTATAGACACTATCTTCATATAACCAAGTTTCAGACTTGATTTCCAGCTTTTTCTTTTATTACCACTGAATTAAAAAGGAAAATTAATAAAATAAAGTAAAGAATTAAAGTATACTCACGATTTTAAGTCTATGAAGAAGAAACCAAACTTGTCACTTTAAACAATAATATGTATAACCATTAAATAAAAACTACCTATTAGTGAACCAAATTTATTACTAAAACAACACAATTAAACTTTTAAACAAAATATCACTAATAAAATAAGAGTGTGAAGATGAAACTTATCACTGAACATAAAACCAACACTATCTCTTTAAACACTAAAACGTATAACTATTCAATAAAAACTACCATTAATAAACTAAACTTATCACTTAAACAGCAAAATTAAGCTTCTAAACTAAAATACTGCTAAAAAAATATGAACATTTAACAGTTTTGCCTATACAGCAAGCAGATAGCAAGGGACGATCCAAGATGGCCAGCCAATCAAAAAGTGACTCCATGACCCCACTGTATTATTAAGCTACTGTAGTCCAAATGATGATGGTTGGGGATCTGAATTTTTTTTTTAGCATATTGGAAGTTAATAGAGTTTGTCAAGTAAGTGTTGTAATAGTCGGAATATACTAGCTATTTCTTATATTTTCAGTCTAGTATGAGGATTCCAAATAAGACAATAATTTTTTCTTCATTATTTTCATTAATAGACCATTGTAATCGGCAAAAAAAAAAAAAAAAAAACCCTGAAAATTCGAGGTTTTACGTTTTTAAAGTATGTAAATATGTAGCATCCGAAAACCTAATAAATAAAAAAATTGTTTGTCCGCCGTTCGCCTTCCGCAGCTTTTCTCCGGGACTAGTGGACGGATTTTTCTGAAATTCGAGATCAAAGTCAGCGGTCACCTGGGGATGATCCTCCTAACGCGGCATTACCATCCGCCCATTTCTTTCAAAATGGCGGCTGAAAAAATTTTTCGCTATAGAATATTACTATAGTGTATATTTTTAATGATTTTTTAAATAAAATAAAATAAAAACGCCACATTCTATTTCAAATATCAGATTGTATTGATTTCGATTTTCAATTGCAGAGACTTGAACCAAGCCATGTTTCTTTCCTATTTAATTTATTCTGATAATTCGCTCTCTTAAATTAGGTTTAGTTAAAGATTTGTAATTTAGACGTAAAATTGTCTACATTTTAATTTTGGTGTATTGAAACATTTGAAAATTACATCTTTGAGCATGTCAATAAATAAATCTTTTGGTATTTATTTATTAATCTCATTTTGTCTTGTAATGGCTTGAAGAAGAGAGGCATGGTCCAAACGAGCTCATTAATTGGTTGATCGGGGCGGGTGTCAAAGGAAGGGGTGTATCAGTGCCCCTCCTAGGGAAGGAGTGGGAGAAGTGGAGGCTGTTGATTGGTCGGTAGGCCTAAGGCAGGCACCGCCCACCAAGACCCGCCCTGCCACATCAGTTCACTCTCAGACCTCACTCAGTCATGATCTCTATGAACGATCCTACTGTCGGGATGTTACCGTTCGATGGTATTGGCCTCTATGAGCAGCCCAAGACGAGGTTCATCTTCAAGATGCCAAGGGTAGTGCCCGACCAGAAAGCCAAATTCGAATCGGATGAGCTCTTCAGACGTCTGTCAAGGGAGTCGGAGGTGAGTACAACATGCTTTATATAGTAGATGTGTTTGGATTTTTAAAATCTTAATTATAAAAATATTTGTGATTGGTTTTAATTTAATCGGTTTGTCAATCCCTAAATAAGTATGTGACGTAGTTCTCTTACACGCAGAAGTTACGTACCATCACTGTAGACCCAACATGACTTTTTATCATTAGTGGAACTATAGGAAGGTGGGGGGGGGGGGGGCTTTCGGTTTTAAAATGTTTTTTTTTTTTCATTGATCCATATTTGTTCTATGTACGTATGTGATCTAAGCTAAATACATAAAATGGAGGCAGTGTTGAAGCATTGAGCTGTCTCGAGTAAAGCGGCACGGGTTTGATCCCGGCCTGGGCAGATAGAAATTTATCTCATGGCGGACCCACGGAATGAATCTCGAATCACATAGATTATAATAGATTTGGTTATACAATTAGAACAAGCATCCCATATGCTAGAAAATACGAGCTAGTGACTAAAAAAAAAGCTATATATTTAGAACAATTTCTTATATGCCAAATTTTGAAAAAATGTAATTCAAAACCTATTAGTTTTACCGAGCCTATTTTGGTCTCGAATCGTAGTAAATTTATTCTTGTTTAAAAATATATTGAAGATTTTTTTGTCTATAACGTGCCCCTTCATTATCAAAGTGGGAAAAATCGAAAAAAGTGCGAAAATTTAGCAGTTTGGTGGATATTCAAAAATTGTCAGGAGAGCAGCCAACATAAGACAAAAAACACGAAGCCTGCCACCACTTGATGCAGCTTAAGATGTACTTGGCTACTGTACTATATTTGTTTTTGTAAGCAATGTAAGCTAAATTCTATATCTCAAAGTAAATTATTTACTTTTCGTTACTTTTTTTCCCCGCTATATTAATTTATATTATAGTGCGACCTATGTGCGGTTTCTATACAAGTCTCTTATTTTTTAGTTTTAGTACTGTTTTTCATTTCAATAAATTTGTAATTATTTGAATTTCATTAAAATAATATTGTCTTCTAATTCATGTGAAAATGCTATAGAAAGTATTGTGAATAACTCAATTTCATTAAAATGTAAACAGGCTATGTTGCTTCTACAGTGACTGTTCTAATGTGACAACCTCGCTCCACTAGCGGATACAGGATTTAATTTTGGGGGGAGGGGCTTCAGCCCGAAAACTTTTTTTTTCATAAAAATAACAATAATTACTTTATAAAAAGAGAAATAAACTAACTACCTATTTAAAATGGTGTTTAAGTGATCCCTAAAGTTCTTTTAAATGTAATTACACGAACTATAATAGTTTAAGAGGTATTTAAAAAAAAATTCCATAAAACATGGTTATATTTTACCATTTTGGAGGGGAGGGGCTTCAGCCCGAATTTCCCCTCGCAGATCCGCCCGTGTGTCGCTCCAATATTTCGAAACATAATTATCTATAATGAATAAATATTAATAGTAATGATATTAAATAAGAACATATTTCTTAGTTTTTATTAATTTAGTAATTGTGAATATTTTGTGATATTTAAAAAGAATATGATTACGATTGGCTTCAATATTTTTTTTCGTGTTTCTTAATGAAGTAGTAATTTATTTCTTGATAACGCCCTTACTCAAAGGCATATACAAACTTAAAACTGAAGGAATACATTTTTTCAAATTTTATTTCCACGTGTAGAGTGTTCAACATTTTTTCGTTGTTATTTCATTCAAGCTGTCACTATCAATAATTTTTTGTTTATATTTGTAGCTATTTTATTATAAGTCCAAACGAAATGGGGGAAGCCTCCCTCTCCCCCCTGCCTCCTTCCTCAACTTGGTTACGCCGATACTCTTACGTATCTAATACTCTTATATTAGATAAAAATGTAATGGCATGCTTTTAAAAATTCATTTTTTTATAAAAATTATTATTATTTAATATCTTTATTCAGAATTTATACTAATTTGCTGTGGACCTCTATCCTGGTTCCCATTAGCGATGAATTTTGATAAAAGGAGGTTTCAAAATAAAGGAACTCTAATCAAGTGACGAAACCAAATGTCGATTCTTAATACAACTTTAATAAACTAATTGAAAATAATTAATTTTAGAAATGGGTTACTATTCGATTTATCAGTTATAAACATGAAACAAAATTTGACAGGAATTTCAGTCAAAGATATTTTTTATTAGGTTAGCCGACGTTTTGATCCAAACAGGTGGGTCATCTTCAGTGCTATCGTTTGGAAGTCGAGACAAGAACCCAGAAAATTATTAATGGAGTACCTGTTAACACTTGTAAATGAAATGTAATATTTTGATGGATCGAGTTGGAGATTGTATGTTTTGAAGATGTCGAAACTGACAAGAAGACGAGGTTCGGGACTTATATGTAAAAAGTTTTAAATGACATTGTCCGAAGAAAATTTGAAAGCATTTTTTTTTTTAAATATTATTAACATTTATAATTTTTAAAAATGAGAGAGGCTCCTGCCAATCGGATCATCCTAAATGAAAAATATGGCGCACCACACAACTTAAGACAAAGGAGATGTGAAAGTAAAAATTATAGACGCTATAATTATTTATATTTCATTGTGGGTATTTTTATTTGTAAGTAAGGCTATATATACACATTTTAATATTTATATCGGTGTAATCTATACAATTAAATACTAAATAATACCAACTATAGCATTTATGAAAACCGCATATTTATATTTACATAATATTGTTGGACTCGGTATTATATTAAGCTCATGTTACGTCTGGAAGCCTGTTATAATCTCAGGCGAGCTCGTGTGCGATCAATTACATCTATTCTCCATTACGATTTTTTATTTCTCCTTTAGTTAATTATCAAATTCTTTTTATCTTATATTTAATTATCTTGTATATTAGAGATTAACGTAAAATAGTCAATTGTTTCAAATAAAAAAAACTAAAGGCAGTAAAGGCAAAAACTAAAGAGTAAGCTAATATTGAAAATTAGCTATTTAAACCCTGATAGAAAAAGCTACATTTTATTTAAAACTGCCTAATTTTACATTGATATAATGAATTTTATCAAAATCGTTTGAGCCGTTTCTGAGAAAATTGTAAAAATGTGCTTAGCCCATGATATGAGGTGCCATTTCCGGTCAGTCGATTTTGACGAAAAGTTAATGTAACATCCCTAGTATATAAAAACCTTAAATATGCAATTTCACTTTCGTACGATTTTTCGTTTTTGAGCTAGACTGTTAACACAAACAAATACAGAAATACACACACACCATTTTGCGGAACTTTGTTATTCGGACTCAGGGGACCTGAAAACCTGTATTTGCCTTGGAAACTAAGATTAAAAAATTTTCAGGATCGGAATTTCATGTATATGTAAGTGAAAGTAAAAATGGCGGCTGATTTAAAAATTATTAGGCCAGTAACTTGAGGATGGAAACTTATCGGAAAATTATTGCAAAATGTGGGGAAATTTTTCATTTTTTTAAACTTCTAAAAAAGAAAATTGCTAACACGGACTTTTTCCAATATTTTTTTTTCGCCTGTAATTCATAAACGGTGCATCGAAGAAAAAAATGCACTCTTAATAAAATAAAATAAAATCTTAAATTGTGTGTCGAACGAATACCTAAACATAATAATTTGGTTAATTGGTAGGTTTGATAATCCCAGTCAACAAAAGCTGATTTTTGCCAAATTTGTCCTAAACTGAGACAAATCACTATAAATGACAATCCAGCTTGGAAATGAGTTTCTTCAGAGAAAAAAAAAAGTAGAATAACATCAACTTAAAGTAAATTATATTATATTAGTAATTTATAGAGTAAAACTTTTCGTCATTACTGCGGAGTTTAAAATAGCTTCTCAAATTTGTCGACTTTTTGTGCTCTTAAAATAAATAAAAATGTTCACGACAGCCTTATTTTTTGCGCTCAATATCTTGGAAAGTTGTTTTTAAATTAACAACTACCACAGTTGATTGATAAAAATTTATGCTTTTATTGTATTATTTAGAATTTTCGTTATAATATATATTCTAAACAATTAATAGGCACTAAAAAAATTATTTTAAATACAAAGACATTTTAATGGAATGTGAGAATGCAGGTACAACTTAAAACTATTTAAGAATTAAACTCTAAATATGCAGTAACACCGGTGCTTTATTTGATGAACTTGCTAATTAGAGAATTCAAAAGGTATGAGATATACGTACCTTTAATCCTTTCTGTAAGCTATAATATTCTTTTGGAATTAATAATATTGCTTACTTGAGAGATAATAAATAAATCATTATCGACTATAATAATATTATCTTGTTTATGTTATTAATTCCCTTAGGAAATAACATTATTTTACGTCAGTTAACAGCCAAGTTCACTCTCACTTTTTTTTTTTTCTTCTTCACTACCTTGCCTTTAGGCTTCACGGAGTTATAAATCTCCGGAACCGAGATGCGAACTCGTTGAGTTTATCAGTTTGCCGTGCAACGCGTGTTCCACACAGATGATATTCACCCCTTTTATTAGCTCCCGCTCCACTAAAAGTCATCAATTTGATACGGTATTTTAGGCTATATGTCTGGACCTGCAAGGCTCAAAAAGATTACAAAATTATGCTTTCAAATAATTGTTCATTACTGATCGACAAATTATCAGAGACTAAAATAAAAATCGAGATAACTATTGGATAACTATTATTGAATTGATTTTTATTCGATTTTGTATAATATATTTTCCTATTTGATATAAGCGTTTATTATTATGTTGTCAAAGCCCCTTTATATGAAAATGTTACCGGATTTAAGATTGTGCAATCGCACATCGAGTTTTTGCAACTTTTCGGATTCTTTTTATATAAGAATTATTATATGTTGTCAAAACTCCTTTTCTGAAAATAGTACAGGATTTAAGGTTTAAGTGCAATTGCGCATCGAGTTTGTGTAACTTTCCGGATTTCTTCCGAATCGATATTTGAAGATACATACTCGGGTATCGATTTTTGTTACTTCTTTGATATAAAAGGTCTATTATTACGTTTTCGGATGTACTGATTATGAAAATATTAAATAATCTGGTATTATAATTACGAAATCGTGTAGTACATCGAAAAAATACGGAAAGTTACATAAACTCGATGCGATATTGCACTTAAATTTTAAATCCAGTAGTATTTTTATAAAAAGCGTCTCTGACAATATACTATCTACATATTGAGCTCTTGTATTGATGAAAATAGAAAAGTTACAAAAACTTGATGTTATATCTGATAGCATTTTTATAAAAAATACTCTCAACAACATTATATCGGATCCTTATACCGATCAAATCCGAAATTTTAGCAGGTACTAGTATCATAAACACGGAATTTTAATATTTTTCCATCACAGAAAATTAAAAAAAAAAAAAATTAAACTAGGACTGTATTTGATTGGCACACTTGATGACTTCAGAAAGGTTTTAGAAAACTGAAAGGTCCTGTGAATATGAAGTAAACAAAAAAGTTTAGCAGTTTCCCGTTGTCTTATTTTTTTACTACATACCATTATACCATTCATATTTATCTATTGATTCATTTATAACCTCTTATGTATATTCATTCTTTAAAAACAAGAACAACTAACTGACAAAATGTATTAAAAAGGGGATTATAAAATATTTTAAAGTTGTTAGTGAGAGAAGTTCATTTCTGTTATATAAATATCAACTTTTTTTTCACTTATCATTAATGTAAAATTATTTAGAGCTGAAAAAAATAATAAGTTGTTTCATTAATTATAATGTAAAAAACTCACAATTTATTTTTTAATTAATGAAATATAGATTTTATTACGAAAGGCAGTGGCTTTCAAGTCATGTCAATACCTCGTAAATTATCAGGCGTTAAAATCTCTGGAGTACTGGTATAAATGAAGAGTTAATCCGTATTTTTTTTTATTTTTCATACGATTAAAATCCATGAAAAAAATGGGTTCTACAGCTGTTCAACCAAACATGTTTCTCAATTCATAAATAGGCTAAAGTATGTAGAAATAGTTTCGTATGCCTATGCTTCTTATATGAACAAACACGTTTTGGAAAACTAATTTATTAAATAAATCTGATTTATTTATGTATGCAAACAGAAAAAAAAAGACAAAAAGAAAAAACATATAGATTATAAGAGTATGTAGTGAGTGATCTGAAAAGAGGTTTATCAAAAGTCACATTAGTGTTCGATAGATAGGCGTTATGTTTTTTAATAAACTGATATAAAATAATTAGCGAATGGTTTGGAAAGGTTTTGTACATTATTTAATTCAAAATTAGATGATTCTCAATAAAAAATAAAATAAAAATATGACATTATTCAGTAAAAAGGAACGAAGAAAATAGAAACTTGAAGAAACGTCAAAGAATTGCAGATTTTGTAAAGGACTACCTTTATACTTTATTGATCATTAATATTCAATTTACAAATAAATTCCGATTTATTTCATACCAGGGCAAATTATATATATTTTTAAGGAACGAGATGGTCCGGAGTTATTTAGATAAAAAATTATAAACAATGTGAATAAACTTATTAAAATTATAAACAGTAACTACATTAAAATATTAAGAACAATAAGGGAAAAATTGTAGATGTGATAAAGAACAGGAATAAGGTCAGGAAGGCTTGATTTTATTAGTTTTACTGGAATAATATCAGGACCATAATCATTAGTGTGGGATTTTAGGATAGTGGAAAGTAATTCATCATAGGAAACGTGGGAGAAAAAGAAGTCTTCAGGATTGAAGTTGTGATGTTTAATATCGAAAGTATGAGAGGATGAGTGAGTAAAGGATAAGAAATGGTTATTGAGATCATCTGGAGAAAGA